CTTGTCTTATCTTATCTCATCTCATCTCATCTCATCTTATCTTATCTTATCTTATCTCATCTCATCTCATTTCATCTCATCTTATCTCATCTTGTCTTATCTTATCTTATCTTATCTCATCTCATCTCATCTTATCTCATCTTGTCTTATCTTATCTTATCTTATCTCATCTCATCTTATCTTAGCTTATCTTATCTCATCTCATCTCATCTTATCTCATCTTATCTCATCTCATCTCATCTTATCTCATCTCATCTTATCTTATCTTATCTTATATTATCTCATCTTATCTTATCTTAATATACGCTGCACTTTGAGTCAGTTTTGTTCATTTAGTTCCTAAAATCTTGTTGGGCGCTCTCCTAAAGAGCAAAACTTTCTGTTTCTTTCGGCTCTTTTGTTTGACGTGTGGTTAAGGATGCACAGAGGTTATCATTTGATAACTTCACCACAGCTCACTGAATCATAGTCGGGTTGAATCGAGCGGTGCCTGCAGTTACCCACCCACACCTTTCACCACAGGAAACAGCAAGTCGTGCTCACCTCTTTGCTCTCGTGTGCGTCTGCTTCTCATTTTCTCTGCCTGTAGTCGCTGCTTTAGAGCTGGTTTGCTGCAGGAGATGTTAGGAAACCTCTGAGTGCACAGTCAGATGTGCACAGTCAGATGTGCACAGTCACATGTGCACAGTCACATGTGCACAGTCACATGTGCACCGTGGACTTGGACTGAATAAGTAATGAACACATAAACAACTCATCCAGACATGAGGAGATGTAAACGACCTGATTTAACTGACAACATTTGAAGTTGTTTTGTTTTGAACCAGAAACTCAGTTTTATACGAGTTCTTCTTTAAACTTGACCCTCACAAGATAATTTGTTAGAGTCTAAACTGAGCTCCCTCTGACCACTGTCTAATGCAGGTAAGACGCTGCCTGCAGGCGTCACATGACCCCACCTCTTACAAACCGAACGATCACTGACAGCGTCGAGTTTGAACTCTCTCCTCGTGCTTCGCCCCACAGGTGAAGGTGTGGTTCCAGAACAGGAGGATGAAGTGGAAGCGAGTGAAGGGAGGCCAGCAGGGAGCAGCTGCTCGAGAGAAAGAACTGGGGAACGTGAAGAAGGGAACACTACTGCCCTCTGAGTTCTCCGGCATCGCAGCCCTCCACCATTCGACGGACTCCTTAGCCAATGAGGACAGTCGTGACAGCGATCAGAGCTCTGACCACACTCATTTATGATGCCCCCCATCCCTGACCCCCCACCCCCAGTGCAGGCTCTGCCTCTGGACCTTCCTACAAAGACTATTGCCTGATGAGTCACCATCGTCACAACGTGATAAACAAGTGAACACGTGCGTTAGACAAGGAGGGGTGTACATTTTCAGAACTGAACCGTTTGTTCGTTTTAAAAATGCAACAAAAAACCAGCAAGTTGTTTTCAAAGAGTGATGCAATGGTATAAATGTTGAAATGCATATTTAGTTGAACTGTTACATTCCATGCGTGTCTTTTGAGAAGCAGGCTAAAGCTTTGATTTGCACTGTCCAACCTACGGTCTGCACTTCAGCTGGTTTCTACTGTAAAATAAATTGTAAATCATATTTTTAATTGACGTATTAATTCAGTCAAGTTGCAGGAAATCTGATTTGCCTTGCAAATATAAATGACGTGTAAATATTTCTTGGTTTGTCTTTAACTGTGTACCAGCTCAGCTCGTGGCCTAATGAACACTGACGGCTCTTCAAGTCACACTTTCCTGCCGTAAGATCTGAAATCCTTCAGAGACACTTTCAAATTAAATAAAACTTAACGGGTGGAAAAGTCATTTTTCATGAATAGTGCCCCCCCCCCCCCCCCCCTCCATTTTCGCAGCCATCCATCCATGAGGATCCACGGTGATGAATGGATGTTCCACAACCTGAGGCTGAAATAAATGAAACGTTTCAGAGCATGTGGAGCGGTGGTGATGTGGGCGCATGTCGCCTGGGGGCCGGGGCAGCCCCCCCCCCCCCCCCCCCAAACTCCAGAAAACCCACAGTGGATCTGATCCTGTTCCTAAATCCAGTAGAAAATGATGCCTTGATCTCATCTTTCACTACTTTGTGATTTCTAATTTGTTTCAGAGCCATCTCACACTGTATTTGAGGTTTATACCCCCCCCCCCCCCAAGACGAACGGCCCTGAGTCCGATCCAGCCTTTAGTCCTGTTGCACTTAGAGGACATTTTCTTCTGCATTTGATTTAAACCTGGACGTGCTCAGGTGCTGCAGCAGCTACAGTAATTTCTTGATGAAACAATAAAAAGTATATTTGACCTAAAACAAAAAGTACATGCATTAAAAGATCTAAAGCGATACCCCCCCCCCCCCCCCATTTATCACCCGTCTATAATCCATTTCCTGTTTCTGTTCATTAATCTGTAATCAGAGTAAAAGTTCTCTTTTAATGAAACTCACAGAAATCAATAATTAGGCATCTAATGTAATTGTTATTCAAGATGGCTGCCACAGCTAATCAAACTTAGCAAAGATTTTTAAAAAAGTCAAATTTGGTGTGGTAGTAGCTGAGAATGGTTCCCAACACACACTCTGAGCACTAACTGATGATCATGTTTACAACACACAACTCTCATGTGCTCAAATTCACAAAAAACTAATGTGCACGTGGTAGTAGCTGAGACTCATCCTCAACACACACACATCTGGTTTGGTCTCAAACTTTAACTAAACTGGTGGTAACTCCACCACTTCCCAATAAAACAAACTGGTGATCTGAAAGTTTGTTGGGTTTAAATTCGTTCTGATTTGTTTTGTTGTAACGAAGAGTCAGGAACGTCATGAGCACATGCAGGAGGTGAGTAACCTGTGGGAGGCAATGAACACGAGCAAGAAGACTCATCTGAAATGTGGAGATAAGCATAAATAAGAAAACTGAAGAGCCTTTCCAACAGAGCAGAATATTTCAGTTATCAAGGTTTTAAGAATTTCACATTTTATTCTTTGTGTCATTCATTCATTCATTGATTCATTCAAGCTTTATTTATGCAGGTTAGTCCCGTTGAGCCTCGGGGACTCAGCTACCAGAGAGTGTTGTTTTGTGAGACGTCTGCAGAGGATCCTGCACCACAGGGCCTCCGTTTAATTAACAATGCTCCTTCAACGTTTCTGTTCCTGCTCTCACAGATCTCTGAGCAAATCAAATCAAAACAAAATATAGGAATCTATAAAATCAAGAGTCATACAAAGGATGGAGCTTCATCGTTTTAGAATTCCTAAGTTGTTTAGTTTTTGGGATAAATGAAACTAATAATTAAGATTTTTACCATTTACTAAAAGTATTGCAATTTTTCAAAATGCATTTTCCGGTTTGTTAAAGCTAAACGTTTCGTATTTTGGGATGTAAGGCCTCTGGATTTGCTGTGTGGTGGAGAAAAATAAAAAGACGGGAACATTTCTGATATCTGTTCATTTTGTTTGAGTCTAGAACGAACAGAGTTAAATTAAACCTGGAAACAGCTTGAGGCACCAACACAGGGGCTTCAGGGTCAGGGGCCCCTGGAACGAGCTTTTTGTCCCCTGTCCTGGAACTGGAAACACCCCCAGTCCATCCGTGCATGTGATCGTTGGTTGTGAACTGGACAACTTGAAAAACCAGTGAGGTACCAACTGTGGCTGGATGCACTGGTTCGAGGTTCTTTATTGCCATTCACATCACATGTGGTACATGATTCATGAACTGGGATGAAACTGTGTACTCAAGGTCCCAGTTACACCCAAAAATATAAAGTATAAAAAAGAAAAAGTATATAAGGATGTAAAATATATGTTAAACACTAATAATGTAAAATAATACGTTGTATCTGAACATGATCTAGGCGATGGTCACATCCATCACCTTTATGGGGGTCACTGGTGCTCATGTCCAGCAGTCACTGTGTGAGAGGCGGGGGACACCTGGACAGGTCTCCAGCCTACACGCACGCACGTACGTACGCACGCAAACACACACATTTGTATATAATTTGAGGAAACTATGCTTCCTAGTTTTTATATTCTTTAAAAAATATGGCTTCCTTAAATAACTGGAGTGGTCAAGGCCACCGTTGGCCACCCCCTGGCTCCGCCATTGCTCCTGGTAGTGCATTTTCTCCCCCACTCACCAGGATCCATCACTCTGCGCTGACGAGCAAAAACAAAACCTCTCTTCTTATCGACAGTGTAACTCTTTAATGTTTTGCACCAATAACATTAAGTTTATTGCATTCCCAGTTTAATGCCAGTCCAGAAAAAACTCTCATCTTAAAAACATGAACTCTTCAAGTCCCTCGGTGACAGGGGACACTGACGTGTCGTTGGTACTTCCGTCATGTGAATTAAACGAACAGGTAAGTTCAAGCTGACCGTGAACAAATGTAAATTAAATCCACGCAGAAACATTATGAAACAAAAGTGTGAAATCATCCCAACACAAAACAAGATTAAGCAACTTTAATTAAATAACTTCTCTTCTTGAGATATCTCAAGTTGTCATGCTGAGTGTGATGCTCAGCTACTACCACGCCACATCTCAGTTTGTGTAAAACTATAAATAATCTGGTGTTGGTTGAGGTTGATTAGCCGACACGTGATGGTCTCCAGAAGTTCATCTCATGTAGACCCAAGGAGGTTTTGTCAGTTCCAAAGAGACCTGTCCACTGATTCATTAGATATTTTGCTAACAGACAAACACATGATGCCTGTTTTTCTCAGCAGTGGCCACAGTGTGAACAGGAAGTTTGACTAGTTCACGCCAGGAGGCTGAAGTTCGTCTCGCGAGAAAAAGCGAGAAAAAGTGTGATCTTGTCCCAAATCACCGAGACCAAAGACAAACAGGCGAATAATCCCGTGGATTAAAAAGTGAACAGGACCATTCACAGAGCCCCGAGGATGATCTGGACCGGCTCGGGTTCGGTTTTCTGCTTGTCAGAACTTCAGCCACGCGCGCTGTGACGCAGCGTGACCCAGTTTTCCAGTTCAGATAATAAATAAATAATCCCCACAGGAACTTCTTCAGATGTGAGACAGGCAGGAGCAGTGGCTGCAGGTCCACCGAACTCTGCCCCGACACCTGGCAACACACCTGGCAACACACCTGCACAGGTAAACAGGCGGCAGCACTGACGGACCGAACATGGCCGAAGCAGCGGGGTTCGGTTCTGCGTCCAGAGGCTTCCGGGCCATGTTCTTCATGCTCACCCCGAACGAGTCCTGTTTTGAGAAGGTTGAAGAAGTTCCTCAGTATGTTCAGCAGGTGGGTGCAGCCTCCTTCACCTGTCACTTTAATTAACTCTGGCAACAACTTCTGACAGTGTTTACTTCTGTTGTTTACTTGTAAACAACCAGGGGAACCAATAAACTCCATTAACGGTGTGCTCAAAAATGTATTGCAAAAATATTTTTAATTTTTAATCCTCCATCTGAGCCTCGAGTTCGATCACATCTTATTGACAGCAAGTTTAAGGACCAGTTCATTTTAGGTGAAAACTAATGTAAGTGCATTTCATGTTAGTTGCACATTTTCAGATTAAGCGTCAGTTTTAAAAGCTGTCAGATAAAATCATCGCCCGCTGCATGAAGGACTTTCTGCTGCGTCTGTGTTTTACCTCCTGTCTGTTACCAAAGTACTTCCTGAACTGAGAAATATAATTTAATCACTTATTAACCTTTGGACTCAACCCAGTTCAAGATGGATGCCACAGACCCCTGGCTTTAGAGAATCCAACATTTTAATTATTTTTTATTCATCTTTATTGAAGCAGACAAATCTGATCACAGAGCTCCTTTGTGAGGGAGGCAGCCCAACGTGCACGTTTGGAGCGCCTGGAGAAAACCTGCACGATCATGAGGAGAACATGGAGGGTCACAGAAAGACCCAGGTCCAAAGCAGGGATTGGACCCGGGACCTTGTTGCTGTGAGGCAACACTGCTGCCCACTAATCCATCGTGCTAAAATGGTTTTCAGCCAAACTGATGCTAATGCATTAATAATAATTAAAAAGGAACAAAACAGAGTGGCTTTAGGAGCACAAGGGACTTCAGTAATTACAGTTTTAAATCACCATTTTGATTTTATTCACTAAATTTTAACTTGAATCGAGTGAGAAACAAAAACTTGTCTTGTCTTTTTATTTTTCTTTACCTGAATACCCCATTACGTATTTAATTTTAAACAGAGCAGTTTTATTTATTTGTTCTTTGCTTTTAATTATGAGAAATGTAAAACAAATGCTCAGACTTGGGTATTTTAGATAAAGTTTCGAGGCAGGAACAGTAGAAATATACGTCTGCAGAAGTCGGTTCATTTATAAACAGGAAACATGAACGAAGTAAAAGTGAACTTTTTTCAGTGACGTGACCTCAAACTGCTCTTTGTTCCAGAATTAACACGAAACCTGCAAACTCCACCG